GTCTGGGCGACAGAGTGAGACTCCAACTCAAAAAAAATAAATAAATAAAAATTAAAAAAATAAAATATTCAGACTCTGACTCACTATTTATCATTTAAAAGATTGATAAAAGCCAGGAATGGTGGCTCATGCCTGTAATCCCAGCACTTTGGGAGGTGGAAAGGAGAAGATTGCCTGAGCCCAGAGATTCAAGACCAGCTGGCCAACTTGGCGAGACCTTGTCTCTACAATAAATCAAAAAAATTAGACAGGCGTGGTGGCATGCACCTGTAGTTCCAGCTACTTAGAAGGCTGAGGTGGAAGGATCACTTGAGCCCAGCAGGTAGAGGCCGCAGTGGCAGTGAGCATGCCACTGCATTCCAGCCTAAGTGACAGAGTGAGTGAGACTCCAACTCAAAAAAAATTTTAAATTTAAAAATTAAAAAAATAAAAGATAGCAATAATCAAAGTTGCAAAGATTCACATATACAAAATTGTAAATTACAGCTGTTATTTAATTGTTAATAATGGTTATCTCATTGTGGTATGATTACAGATGACCTTTAATTTTTCAGTGTTTTCAAGACTTTTAAAAATGAGCATCTCTACTTTTATAGTTGTAAAGTTATTTTTATTTACCTGGTTTCAAGTTTGAATTCTGAAAGTTTAGCTCTGAGTTCTTCCTTACTCATTCTATTAATACAACCATTGGTAATAGCAATCTCTTTGTAAACTGGATCACTGAAATCACTTGTGTTGGAGGTAATGAACTTAGATCCTTTTGTTTCTTGGCCATCAAATCTACATCGTTGTTTTTTCTATTAAAAAAAAAAGAAAAGAAAGAATACAGCTTATAATTAGTACAAACACCTTAGATTTAAAGATTCAAATTCCTGAAGACTCTTTATGCTCCATGTTTGATGAAAAGTGATGACTGCAACTCCTGGAGGGAGGACACAATAGGAAAAGGAAAGATATGCCTCCAATACAATTTACCTTGCTCTATTCTGAGTCACGAGCTTCCTCAACGGAAACAAAGCTATGTAAGAAGAGGGCTGGTGCTAGGAGTCTGAGTCACCTCATATAGAGCCCCAGCTGACTATTTACCTGCTGGACCTTGGAAAGCTGCTATGATTCTCAGTTTCCTTGTCAATAAAATAAAGTATAATTGTCTCAGATGGTGTTTCATAATAGTAACAGTAAATAGCATTTGGGCAGAATTATTACAAGGATTAAATAAGATAACATATAATACCATTTCCAGAACAGTTATTAATAAATGGTACCTTTACTTATCTTCACAGGCTATAGAACAGATCCTTCACAAACAATATTCTAATATTTATGAATGAATACTTTTAAGTGAGCTTTTACAACATCAGTGACTTTCTAAGAGTTTTTTAACCTAAATTCATTTTAAAGAGTTAACAGAAATTACCCAACATAAAAACAAAATGGACTGAAAATCTAGTTCGAAACTTCCTAGTAACCATGGTGAAGAAATATGTTCAGCTTCAAAACTCACAATTTCCAAGTTACACTTATATCAGTTATTCAGGATAACTATACAGTTACTGTATTATAAACCTCTTCTCTTCTTAAAATTTGTGGGGTTTTTTTGAGTTGGAGTCTCACTCTGTCACCCAGGCTGGAGGGCAGTGGCATGCTTTTGGCCACAATAGCCTAGACCTAGACCTACTGAGCTAAGGAGATCGATCCTTCCACCTCAGCCTTCCAAGTAACTGGAACTATAGGCACATACCACCATGCGTGGCTAATTTTTTTTTTTAATTGTAGAGGTGAGGTCTTGCCAGGTTGCCCTGGCTGGTCTCGAACCTGCAGGCTCAGGCAATCCTATCGCCTCGGCCTCCCATAGTGCTGGGATTATAGGCATGAGCCACTGCACCAGGCTGCTGTTTTTTTAAAAAAAGACTGTATTCTATTCCTCCACAAGTAGCCTCAAATTAGTAATAAGAAAACTTTCAAAGACTAATTTATACATTAATTATTTTCTACATGCAATGTTACAAACATTAGCTATGTTGCAGAATTTTAAAAAATATTTTTGGTACTTATTTCATAACTTGCCACATTGTCCTCATGTGAACTTTACTTACAGATTAAGGAGGGATAACCACAGAGAGGCTGCAGTCCCTAACTTAGAACTGATCCTTGTGATTCAGGGACTATCCCTCACTCTACCCTCTCAAATTTAATGCAATACACATTTACTGCAAACGTAATGCTAGGTACAGTGCCAGAGTACTCAAAAATTATCTACTCCCATCTCCATGAGGAAGAGTCAGCAATTCTAATCTGCAAATTGTCCATAAATTGAAGAATAGCTACATTGAGATTCCTTGTTAAAAAGAGTTTATTTAAAAAATGTATTACACTGCTCTTTGTAAAAAAAAAAAAAAAAAAAAAAAAATCAGTTTTCAATAATATATTAAATTTATAACAGATACTGGTATACTTTATCATTAGAATTTAACCAAGGGCCAGGAGTAGTGGCTCATGCCTATAATCCCAGCTCTTTGAGAGGCTGAGGTGAGAGGATTACCTGAGTCTACGGGTTTGAGACCAGCCCAGGCAACTTGGCAAGACCTCATCTCTACAATAAATTAAAAAAAAAAATTAGCCGGGCATGGTGGTGTACTCCTGTACTTCCAGCTACTTGTACTTCCAGCTACTTGTGCCTGAGCCTGGCAGGTCGATGCTGTGGTGGCCGGAAGCATGCCACTGCCCTCCAGTCTGGGTGACAGAGTGAGACTCCAACTCAAAAAACAAAACAAAACAGAATTTAACCAAGATAATTTATCCTTTGCTTTTAAATTTATACTGAGCTTTAAGCTTCATCTTCGGTCAGGTTAAAATGTAGGTCAACATTAAGTAAGTTTGCCTACCAAAACAGATGTCTCAGTTAATTTAAGGAGATTTTTCTCTTTGGATAAATCCTCTCTGGTTCACTTGGTTAGTTCTTATCTAAAACTGCAGCTATAAAAATTACCTATGAGTAACCCTTAGGCCTCTTCTGGATATGCTATAAATCAAGACTTCTATAAAGATTTGCCTCCTTTCCTAGGTCCACCTCTAGCCCTTTTCTTTCAGTTGACTCATTCACAACTGCTGACATGAATTTATGTCATTCCAAATTCTGTCCCTGGTTGCTACTGATGTGAATTTACCTCACCGTGGAAGACTGTCTTTTCGGGTTTACTTTATTTATTTATTTATTTTTTTGAGTTGGAGTCTCACTTCGTCGTCCAGGCTGGAGTGCAGTGGCATGCACACCACCACCCAGCATTGACCTGCTGAACTCTGGCGATCCTTCAGCCTCAGCCTTCCAAGTAGCTGGAACTACAGGCGCATGCTACCATGCACGGCTAATTTTTGATTTATTGTAGAGACAAGGTCTTGCCAAGTTGCCCAGGCTGGTCTTG